TAATAATTATTACTTTGCGCTGTCCAGTCAATTCTGACTTAATGGGTTTTGGTTTCCCATTGCCTTCTTCTGGAGATAACCTGAAAGTCTGCAGCTTGCCCAAGGCCACACGGGCTGGCTCTTCTCTCAGGAAGCACAGTGGGGGAATCAAACTCCCAACCTCTGGCTCCATAAGCCCAGTGAGCTATGTGATAAATGTTTTTAAAGTTACAAATGTCAGAGGGAAAACAGACAAGGTAGTTGGAGTCTACTAACGACCACCGAATCAAAGAGAGGAAGCAGATGAAACTTTTGAAAAACCAATTGCAGGGTTTTCAAAGAGACACAACGTAATAGTGATGGGAGATTTCAATTACCTAGATTTATGTTGGGAAGCAAATTCTGCCAAGTATGGCCTTTCCAAGAAATTCCTGGCTTATGTTTCTGATCATTTTCTCCTACAAAAAGTGGAGGAAGAAACTAGAGGATTTGCTATCCTTGGGAAGTGGCGGTAAGGGGAACTCTAGGCGAGAGTGACCATGTCCTTCTAGAATTCATAATTTCAATGGAAACCAAAGCAGAGTGGAGCTGCATACTTCTGCTGGATTTTAAAAAAGTCAATTTTAATAATCCAGAACAAGGATAAGAAAGGTCCCATGGCAAGAGATCCTACCAAGAAATGGAGTTCGAGAAGGGTGGGAGCTTCTTTAAAAAAAAATTCTAAAGGCCCAACTACAAACAATTCCAACAAGGAAAAAAAAAGGTGGGAGGCGGCAAAAAAGCCAGTGTGGCCTCACAAAAAGGGGGGACCTAAAACCCAAAAAAGACATGGAAGTGGGAAGAAGGCCAGGCCACCAAGGATGAGTACAGACAAGTAGCAAGGAAAGGCAGGGATGGCATTAGGAGGGCAAAAGCTGAGAATGAGCTGAGGTTAGCTAGAGACACTAAAAGCAACAAAAAAGGCATTATTCATGTATGTGAATAGCAAAATGCAAACAAAAGACATAGTGGCACAGCTCCGCAGTGGAGATGGAAAAATGATAACAGAGGACAAAGAGAAGGCAGAGGTGCTCAGTTCCTATTGTAGTTCAGTCCAGAGGTGCTCAATTCCTATTGTAGTTCAGTGGATAACAGTAAGACACACCATGAACTTCTAAACAAATTGGAAGTGCAGGTGGGGGGGGACAGGAATACAAGTGGAGATAGATAAACAAATAGTCAAGGAACACTTGCCACCTTGAATGAGTTCAAATCTCCAGGGCCGGATGAACTGCATCAGAGAGTATTGAAGGAACTGGCTGAAAAACTCTTAGAACCACTAACTATTGATTGATTGATTGACTGATTGATTGATTTGATTTGATTTGTATCCCTCTCATCTGGTTTATGCGACCACTCTGAGCGGCTATCTTGAAATTTTTTCAAATTATTTTCTTGAAATCATGGGAAACGGGGGAGGTACCAGAGGATTGGAGGGGGCCAGTGTTGGCCCTATCTTCAAAAAAGGGGGGGGAAGGAACCTGGGAACTACAGGCCAGTCAGCCTGACGTCAATCACAGGCGAAATTCTGGAACAGATTGTAAAGCGGTCATTGTGCAAGCACCTAGAAAACAATGCAGTAATAACTGGAAGCCAACACGGATTTGTCAAGAACAAATCCTGCCGTTTTTTGATCAAGCAAACTCTCTGATAGACAGAGGGAATGCTGTAGACATAGTATATCGTGACTCCAGCGAAACTTTTGCCAAAGAGTTCCATGAGATCCTGATTAGCAAGCTAACTAGGTGTAGGCTGGATAGATCCAAGTGTCAAGTGGATACACAATTGGCTACAGAATCTTACTAAGAGGGTGATGATTAATGTATCCATCTTCAACTGGGAGGAGGTAACTAGTGAGGTACCCCACGGCTCAGTCCTGGCCCCGGTGCTCTTCAATCTTTTTATTCATGACTTGGATGAGGGAATGTACGAAATGCTTGTCAGATTTGCAGATGATACCAAATTGGTTGGAATAGCTAATACTCTAGAAGACAGAAACAACATTCAAAATGACCTTGATAGGATGGAGCACTGGGCTGAAAGCAACAGAATGAAATTCAACAGGGAGAAGTGCAAAGTCCTGCACCTTGGAAAAAGAAACCAATTGCACAGTTACAAGATGGGAAATACCTGGCTCAGCAAAACTACAAGCGAGAAGGATCTTGGAATTGTCGTAGATCACAAGCTGAATATGAGCCAACAGTGTGTTGTGGCTACAAAAATTACCATTGCTATTTTAGGCTCCATTAATGGAAGTATAATTTCCAAATCCCGCTAATTGCTAGTCCCCCTCTATTCAGCACTGGTTAGGCCTCCCCTTGAGTATTGTGTCCAGTTCTGGACACCACACTTCAAGAAAGATGCTAACAAATTGGAACAATTTCAGAGGAGGGCGACAAGGATGATCAGGGGTCTGGAAACGAAGCCTTATGAGGAAAGGCTGAAAGAATTGGGCATGTTTAGCCTTGAGAAAAGAAGACTGAGGGGTGATATGACAGCATTTGAAAGGCTGTCATACAGAGGAGGGGCAAGATCTGTCCTCGATCATCCCAGAGTGCAGGACACACAACAATGGGCTCAAGGTAAAGGAAGCCAGCTTTCGGTTGAATATTAGGGAAAACTTCCCAACTGTTAGAGCAGTATGACATTGGAACCACTCAGGAGTGCTCCAACCCTGGAGGCATTCAAGAGAAATCTAGATAATCACCTGGCAGATCTGCTTTCACTGTATTCCTGCCTTGAGCAGGGGGTTGGACTGGATGGCCTTGTAGGCCCCTTCCAACTTCCACTTTTTAATCATTCCATATGATTCTAAGTGTCTTCCCCTCTCTTCTGCAGTGAAGGGGAATGAGAAAAGAACTGCATATGAAAAGGAGAATCTTTTTCAGACAACCCATGTTTGAATTGCTGTAAGATGCCATGAGAGATACATTAATGGAGGATAAGACTATCGGGGGGCACTAGTCATTTTATCTTAGCATCAGTATCAGAGGGCCCTACAAGCTGGACCTGCCATGCTGCTTGTGGCATTTCTGAAGGCATCTGTTTGTCCACTGACTGTGGATAAAGTGCTGGACTTTCTCGGCCAGGTGGGCTTAGAACCGAGGAGGCTCTGGGGTCCCACCTGCCACGTTTTCACAGACCTCGGATATTGGCAGGCTGCGGACAGTCCTTCCCCTGCGTATTTAATGTCAGATCATGTCTTTGGAGGCTGTGGTTGACCATTTTAGACCATTTTTTTCTCCTGGCATGAGAGCAGCTTAACTTGGGACAACAAGTGGTCTGGAGACTGTATATCTCTACCCCCAAGATGGTTTCCATGGTCTGATCAGCAGAATTATTTTCAAGTTTGAGTTGAATTCTACCAAAGCTGTCCTAGACTAGCAACAGAAGGCATGCTAAGTACCACAGCCTTGAAGACTTAATTTGGCCCTGAAAGGTCTCCTCTGAAGGCTCCACAAACTCTGATGCATCTCTGGGGGAAGGAACGTACGGATGTTGCGGGATGTGGAACTTTTTGCATATGTTGAATGTGCAATAAGGGGACCCATTTTCCCACTGTACGTCACAATGATCTGCCCTCATTTGACTCCAGGCTCATAATAACCAAGAGACAAATTACAGTGGTGCCTCACATAACGGGCGCCCCCTTTAACAACGAATCCGCATAGCAACGATGTTTTTGCGATCGCTTTTGCGATCGCATGACGATGTTTTCTATGGGGAAAATCACTTTGCGATGATCGGTAAGCTGTTTCGCTTACCGATTATTGCATAACAATTTTTCCCCAGCTGATTGGCGGTTCCAAAATGGCTGCCGGGTAAAACAGGGAAGGATTCCTCGCTTACCGGGTGCCCAAAATGGCCGCCGTGTGGAGATTTTTGCTTAAAAATAAGTTTTAAGCCCATAGGAACGCATTGAAGGGGTTTCAATGCATTTCTATGGGCTTTTTAAATCCGCATAGCGACGAATCCATATAGCGACGATTTTTGCTGCACGGATTATCGTCGCTATGTGGGGCAACACTGTACTTTTTAAGGAACTGTTTCAATTATTTTGGGCTAAGCAGACAACATGGTTCTTCTGAGTAGTCCCCCTTCTCAAAAAGAAAAGCTCCCTGCAGGGAAACTCCTGTGTGTGAGTGAAAACTAGACTAGCAGTGATCCCAAAGCTTGGAACCCCAGATTTAATTTTTTGGACTGCACTCCCAGAATTTCAAGCCAGTTGTAGTTCAGCCATGTTTGTATGTGGCAGGTTGGGAACCACTGAGCAGCAATGTGCTGGCACTCTGATAGGCTTACATTTTAAATGTATTTTCTTCCTTTTCCACATGCAGGGACCTGCCAAGGCTTTATTCATTGATTTCCTTGCTCTCTTTTAGGACATTGTTATAGCCAGGTTGGTAGGAACCCAGAGTGGCAACATAGGAACGCAGAAAATTGACTTATACCCTTCAGGTCCTTTTAGCTCAATTTTTGTCAACCATCATTGACACCAACTGTTGTCTGTGTGGTTTCAGGCAGGGGTCCCTTCTAGCCATACCTGGGGATGCCAGCGGTTGAACTATGTGCAGGCAAAGCAGACGGTCTAATGCTGAGCTTCAGCAGCTATCCCAGGACTTGGAAGGGGGCTTGGTTAACTTTTGGAAATTCAAGAATGTGGAATGAATTTCTGGCCTTTCCAATGCCGTTAGGTTGCAGTTCTCGTCACTTTTGGCCAGTGGTGAGGAATCATGGACACTGTAGTCCAAGAACATCAGGAAGGGCACATCTTCTCCGTCCCGGCCGTAGGAGAACCTCTTTATTTATAATTCACCACCACAAAAGGACATGTTCGTACCAGGAATGCTTTATAATGTGTCTAGCATGCCTTTTCCAGAACTAGAAGAAAATTACTGTTGTGGACTTTATTGTGAATATTTTGGCTTTTTTTAAAAAAAAAAAAGTTTCTTCTACCGTTGTTCTCTCTTCTCTGCCATCAGCACCTTCGGAGAACTGAAAACCGTCCGCCTGCCAAAGAAGATGATGGGAACCGGAAAGCATCGTGGTTTCGGTTTTGTGGATTTCCTCACAAAGCAGGATGCCAAGGTGAGCGGCCCCTTCCATCCTGACCCTCCTCTCGTGGGTCTGGATTCGGGGCAACTGGAAGAAGATACCTAAGAGCAGATCCACATTTTAGCTGTGCTGTCGGGCACAGGCAAATGAACCCCTATTTGTGATTTGTGTGCCGTTCCCACCTATTCAGTGGGGAGTCTCTTCCATCCAGTTTTCCCATCGGTCTCATTTTAAAAAAAAATCACAAGACGTCGTGTTGATTTTCATATGTAGTTTCTCCAAATAGATCCATTTTTAGTAGGCACCTGATCCTAGCCTTCACATGTTTGTAACAAGGTTCCAACCCAAGAGCTACAGTACATCACGGAATTCAGGGAAGCGCGCAGTTCGAGGAACAACTGTTTGCTTCCTCACTGCATCAGGATTTGAACCCTGATCCAGGCCAGCCATGTCCAGCATTCTGCCCTGACACTGTGGGAGGGGGAGATGGGGACCCATTGGCCTTCCCAGTGTCGTTAGACTCCAGTTATCATCAGCCACTTCCATCCTCACCACTGATGAGCAGTTGTGGCCATAACAGTCCGTCAATGTCTGAACGGTCACAGGTTGGGCAGCCCTGTGCTAACTTTGTATACAGCTTTGGGTTGTAGAGAAGAATGACAGACAATGCAGAGACGGGAGGGAAGAAGGAGAGAGCTAGATTTAGACTGAACCAGGTCTCTCAGCCTTTCTTTCAGAGTTATGTCCCTTTCCTTGGAAAGACTTTGAGAAAGATAATAATAATAATAGCCTTAGAACTGCAGCGCTGGAAGGAAACCTGTGGGCCGTCGCGTCCAGCCCCTCTCGAGGAGGCCCAGCAGAGAATCGCACTCCCAACCTCTGCCTCTGAGCTCCCTGAGATGCTTGTAATATTCCAGCATCGGCGCCGAGACTAACAAAACCCACAGGGCGTGTTCACCGTATTCGTTCACTTCTAATACCTGTGCGGTGCAGATAGATGTTCACTTCAGGTGCGCTCTGCAGTGATCATAGTTTTGTGGTTCGTCTTCCCTCATCCGAAGGAAAGAATCAGCATATTATTGTGGTTGTTCGTTGTTAATTATTGGCTCTAGTTCACACAGAGGAAGGCAGACATTTTATTTCCCCTTTTGTGTAAAATGGCAATTCGGTTTGGGCTCCAATGGGAAGGTCTAGGGAAACAGGCCAGCTGAACCACCCTGCGGTTAAGGAGATGCCATGTGATAAATTGACTGCCATGCAGGGTCTTTATGCAATATTTCTTGTATTCCTCAGTCTGTTATTTGCAGAGCAAATTCTGATATTTGCTGAATGTGAGCCAAATATGAAGTGCATCTTGACATGTTGCTCATAGTTGAACCTTACATTGTTTATTTTCAGTGCATTAATTAAGAACATATATTCTCATTTCTGTCCCTCTTTTATTAGCCACTTGAATTTCTTTCTTTAGCCGTTAGGGGGTGCTGCTCCTCTTGTTTAATTTTTAATTCTTTTTTAAAATCTTACCAAACGGTACAACTCTTTGGCAATATAGTGCCAAATTTCCATTCTTTACCAAAGCCACCCACCTTCTTTGCTGTTGTTTTTAACCATGCCCTGTTCGTTTTCCATGGGATCTCCTCTGCAATTCAAAATTTTCCTTTCTGTGCAGTTTCACCCAGAGAAAGGCATTTGCATACCTGTACATAGATACACCATCTCTCTCTTATAAAGAGAGGAGATAAAAGGGGGGGCCACCAGTCTACACTGGTCTTTAAGACTCTGCTGGTATTAGATTGGGTCCTGGTGCCTTCCCTGATTTTAGGCAAGCTATTGATGGCCTTATTTCATTTTCAGTTACTGGGTCCCAGTTTGGCAATTTGTTTAGATCTAAGGATATGATGTTAACAGTTTGTGGGGGTTTCAAATATTTTGGTAAAGTACTGTTCCCATATATTCACTGGGATACTACAGCAAGCTGATCCTGTTTGAGCGCCTCGTGCTCCAGAGATCAAGGCCCAGAATAGCTTACAATCTTTGTCTAGCACAGAGTCCGTCAAGATCCATCTCTCTCTCTTTTGCACACGTATTGCAGACCCTTCCTCCTCCACACACCGTTCCTAAGATTTGCAAAACTGTGTAGATTCAGATGCATCACAAAAACCTTCTGCGATGACATGAGCAAAAAATATATATTTTCAGGGTCACTTGCTGTGATGCTCTTCCTTCCACTCCTGTTTAACGATTTGTCCTTTTTGGCCCTGTCACATCATGCCGGACTCCAGTAGGACTTCATGCTCACCCCACGAGGAGTTCTGTTTATTTGTTTTGCTCATTGTTGTTCTTTACACCCCATTTGTGTGGCTTCCAAAGCAATGTTTGGTGCTGGCTGGCTTTAAGAACTCAGCTGCTCTTGAAACCAGGAAGAAGAAGAAAAGAAAAGAAAAGAAATCCCCCATTCAGGAATGAAACTCAGCCTTCCTTTTGGAGCTCAGCTGGCATTGCGGAGAATTCTCCTCCGCCGGATTTTTTTTTTTTAAGGAATGATGGGAAATCTATCAACAGCCTAATGTTGTCGGCCTTTTGTGTCCCACTAATGGTTTTGCCTCCAGGTTCTTTGGGCCGGGTGTTTAATAGGGCAAGAGGGAACGAAGAGGCAGAGTGGGTGCCTGTCCCCCAAATTAAGAGCATTTAGATCTGGTGAGCCATGGCTCTCCGGGGAGGTGAACTTGGTGGCCCTGCTGCCTTGATCTATGACTTTCTCCATTCGGGAACCCAGACAGTTCCCACCCTCCCTGCGTCTCTAAGCTACATGCCCTGCCATGCCAGTGAGACAAGGCTGTCATCCAGCTGGAAGTGTATGGCTGAAATCCAATAGTAAGTGGCCACTGGAGTAGGCCCATTGAGTCAGTAGAATTTACATAGGTATCGACTCACTGAACCCCTACTGATTCAGTAGGCCTACTCTAGTTGTGACTTTCTACTGGGTTTCAGCATATATACAGTCGTGGCCTGCTTAATGATTACCCCACATTATGACAAATCCGCTTTACGACAATGTTTTGTGATCGATTACAGTTACCCCGTTTAACGAAGAATCCACTTGACGGTGAGGTTTTTGCGATCGCAAACGATGGTTTGGATGGGATGTTTCCACTTTGCGATGATCGGTTCCCTGCTTCGGGAACCGATTTGCACTTTACGACGATCAAATTTCAAAATGGCCGCCAGCTGAAGAATGGCCCCTTGCTGTGCTTAGGGACGAATTCCTCGCTACACAGGCATGGAAAACGGCCGCCCCTATGGAGGATCTTCGCTGGATGGTGAGCTTTTAACCCATTGGAACACATTGAACAGTTTTCAATGCGTTTCAATGGTTTTTTAAATTTCGCTTTACGATGTTTTCACTTAACAGCGATTTTCCTGGAACAGATTATTGTTGTTAACCGAGGCACCACTGTATTGTGTACCCATGTTTACAGCTGTTTCACACATGATGCTAGGTTTTTAAACAAACAAAAAACACTTCAAAAGTCATGTTGTATTTGTCACACCAGCTATCAGGGACTGTAGCTCACGTCTTCAGACACACACACACATTCAGATGCATGGTTTGGTTTGGTTTTTAGCGCCATACACATGCGCCATACACATGTGCCATACACATGCGCATAGCTATTTAGGGAAGGAACCTTTCCCTACCCCAGCTATTTGGAATGGCATATCATTTTGTTAGTTCTGTTAATCTCGGTGGAAGTTACATTTTTTTCATTCTTTAAGAAGAGAAGTGCCTATCACAGAACTGGTGCATCTGTGAAGTTTACAAGGTGTTTGCAAGAATTAAGTTTAATATTTAACATTTCTATGGATAACGTGTGTACAGTTGTGAAAATGAATGCAGAACAGCACTTTAGCCAATGTGTAAGCTAGGTGAGATGCATAAATGTGTACATGGAAAAAAAAAAAGCACCCCCAAATGTATGAACATCCAGTGTGTAAAGAAGGAGAGATCCGAAAGTGTCATTCTTTGGCATTAAACCAGGACAGAATGAAAATACTGGCAGAATGTGGAGAAATACAATCATAGTGAGACTGAAATGATCTTCCCTCCCTATCTATCCAATTTATACATCTGGGATAAAGAAAGGCTGAGTTTGCAGAATCCACCGCTGGGCCTCTCCTGGTAAAGCATCATCATCAAGAGGCGATCCTCCTTTCCCCCTGCAACTGCCTGTGCACCCGCACCCCCCCGCCCCGCTCTGGAGTGCTGGGAAAGCCTCCGGAACCTGTTTTAGAACCGTCCCGAGAGCTGCCATTCTGTCTCTGCCTTAACTATCCTAGGAGTAAACATTTTAAGAGGAGAGGACTGTGGGCTCCATGAAGTTCTGTTACTTCCAACCAATGCGTAGACTCAGGATTATGGACTTATCGGTGTGATATCCTTTTGCCAGGCTCTGGTGGGTGGATCTTCTATTTCTAGGGAAAAACACAAAAGGGATTCCAGGACCTTAAACCTGCCTATCCTGGTCCTGTGCCACTCTTGGGTTAAAGGCCACCAAGTGTCCTGTTGCTGGGAAGGAGGAGTGGGTGGGTGCTCCTTACGGGTTCCCCTCGGGCACCTTGTTGACCTGCCGCAGCAGAGGATTGTGACTTAGGTCTTTGACCTCATCTAGCTAGTGCTCACAGTCTCCTGTAATCTGACATGATTCTCTGCCTAGGTGAGACCTCGAGAATCTGGTGCCCCCCCCCAGCTGTTGCATATTGTCGTAGGCATCCTTCAGCCTCGAGAGACTATGGTAACGTGCTCTGTATGGAGGACTTCCACGCTGTACGCGAAGCTGGAGTGTCCTCTCCACAGCACGAAGCCTGGGTAAAATAATATGTAGGATAGGCTGTTACCCAAGCAGCAAATCCCCCCTCTCCACGCCACTGAAATAGTCCAATGGAAAAGCAAGAGCCAATACAACTGGTTCCAGCAACGTTGCAAGAGTTGCCAGACTGGCACGAACTGCCTCCGGGACCCCGGCTCCAGATTTTGTCTCGAGGTTGACTCCTGAAGCCTTTTCCATCAGTGGATATAGCCACAAGGCAATGGAGATTTGGAATCAGAGTTTTCCTTCTCCTATATGCCTTCCCAGGCTATCGAGTCCCACCAACACAGTGGGTTTGCATCTGTGCGCTTGCATATACAGATCAGTGTATGTAGTACGTTCACCCGCTCTGCCTCTGATGCTGGGAAGTGAGAAATTAAAAAGTACAAATTAGCAAACAGGAACCTACAATTAGAGCCATACTTGCTTGCCAGGGTTGGAAAAAGACTCCTTCTGCCAACGCAAGCAGCCAGCAAAACTCCCTACAGCCGGCTCCTCCTCCACCACCTTCTTCTCTTCTTCTTCCTTCCCCCCCCCCCACCCTGCAGCAGTGTTTGTTTAATTCAACACATTGCTCTGCTAATTGGGTAACATTCGGTGTGAAAATAGGCATTTAGAAACACACACATATGACAACAGTGGCAGAGCGTTGGAGCCAGAAAAACAAAAACAAGCCAAGCTGTAGGAGTGCAAGGAATTTCGACCTTAGGAGAAGCCAAACATAATACGAGAGGAAACCTTTTCCAGTCTGTTCTGGGAGAGCCAGGATTCGCAGCTCGAGTGGGGGTTGGCTGAAGATAAAGACGGGTGACTTGTGAGTCATATCAAAGAACGGCCACAACGCAAGTGTGTGAAATAATTATTATCGTTATCATTTTACATATTTCTAAGAAAAAAATTAAGGTTTCAGCCCTGGACTCTGTCATGTATAGAGCTAAAGATATTTTGAACAAGTGGTGGTTAAGCAAAAGTAGGTGTGACTGGATTAAATTCTTATCGCCGTGGATGTTTGGTAAGAATTTAAAAAGTGGATAAAATAAAAAATAAAAAAGTGGATATCCACCAACTATAGAAAGGACTGTTTCGTTCTCTCCTTTCTACTGAGACATGAGCCTCAGCCTAACAGATCCTTGGGTACAAACTAGAACTCAGGTCTGTGCCATACCTTCCCTGACTCTGGGCTTGTTTAGCCTTGAGAAAAGAGGACTGAGGAGAGAAAGATCGTACTTGTCTAATAATTAAAGATTGTCATACAGTAGAGGGGCAGGATCAGTTCTTGGTCATCCTAGAGTACAAGACACGTAATTATGGGCTCAAGCTGCAAGAAGCTAGATTTAGGCTGAAGATCAGAAAAAAACATCTTAACTGTTAGAGCAGTACAACAATAGAACCAATTATCTCGGGGGGTGGTAAGCGTTCCAACACTGGAGGCATCTAAGAGAAAACTGGACCAACATCTGTCAGGTCTGCTTTAATTTGGATTCCTGCCTTGAGCAGGAGGTTGGACTCCATAGCCTTATAGGCCTCTTCCAACTCTATGATTCCAAAGCAGAGCTTCATTTCTCGGAGTTCAATACCCAGGTTTTAAGTAGCTCTGATCATTGACTGGAGACAACAGCAGAAGCATCTGCAGGCATAATTGTCCTTAAACTCTGTTTCTCCCTCACTCTTCCTGTCTTACTCCACTCGTGATACATACACCACTCATCAAAGTTTATTAGGCTGCATTTGAATTACTGTATTTTTCTGTGTATAAGACTATACTTTTGTCTGAGATCTTTAGACTAAAAATTGAGTGTCGTCTTATACACGAAGTAAGCTGAAGAGAGAACAAAAACAAGTGGAGGGGAAAGCAGGGATCAAAGTGATCCTGCAGCACTTTGATCCTTTTCCCCCCTGCACTTGCTAAGCCCCATTTAGATTTCTTAATTTTGGATTAGAAAAATTGGGGTGGGGCATCTTATACATGGAAAAATATGGTAAATTGCAAAGCTGGATGTTTAAAATGGGCAAATGGAGAAGCAAATGTAGGAAGACACAATGTGAAACTCCTAGAGTCAGCCCACATATTGCACATTCCAGTCTCAAACTGGAAGTTGGTCCCGTGACTATTCCCAACTCCTTTTCTTCCAGCCAAGTGAAACTTTCCCTTGAATTCACATATAGTATACAGTGGTGCCTCACATAACGAGCACCCCGTTGAGTGATTAACTCGCTTAACGAGGGGCTCCGTTGTCTGAGATCTTTAGACTAAAAATTGAGTGTCGTCTTATACACGAAGTAAGCTGAAGAGAGAACAAAAACAAGTGGAGGGGAAAGCAGGGATCAAAGTGATCCTGCAGCACTTTGATCCTTTTCCCCCCTGCACTTGCTAAGCCCCATTTAGATTTCTTAATTTTGGATTAGAAAAATTGGGGTGGGGCATCTTATACATGGAAAAATATGGTAAATTGCAAAGCTGGATGTTTAAAATGGGCAAATGGAGAAGCAAATGTAGGAAGACACAATGTGAAACTCCTAGAGTCAGCCCACATATTGCACATTCCAATTGGAAGTTGCTCCCAACTCTTTCCCTTGAAACTTTCCCTTGAATTCACATATATACTTATTTCTGTAACAGATTGCTATGCGAGGCACCACTGTATATACTTATTTCTGTAACACGTCCCATGAGCAATGCATCTTGTTTCTTCAGAATGGGAATAAGTCCCTTTACAAGGCAACCTTGGACCATCAGTGGTATCATAGAATTGTAGAGTTGGAATGGACTCACGATCATCTCACCCAGCCCTTGGTGTCTGCAGGAAAATCCACAGCTAGAAAATCCGGAAGCAGAGGTTAAATGACCCTCTGTCAAGGGATGCCATGGCTGTGAATTTTCTGCATAGGCAGATAGTCTTAGTAGATGAGCTTTAGAGGACCATCCAACTTTGCCAAGCTTACTGGATTGTGAATCCTGTGAGGAAGATCAATTTCTTACAGAACATGAAAACATCGCAACCCCCTCAAAAAAAAAAAAACACCATATTAAACAATAATTTTTTAAAATGTTATTTGTTACTTGTTGCTCCTGAGAAGCAAATAACATTACTGATTTGTAATCATGTTTCTGGTTAATAATCATATTAAATTTTAATTGCTTTCATCGCTTTTTAAAAATACACAGATGGCCCCAAAGTTGGCAAAACAGTGTTTTGAAACTGCTTATTATGCAAAAAAGTAGATGCCAGTAGTAGCTGATTTTGCTTCCATAGAATAAGATTGTTGATCAACCCTTATTACCATTAGGTTTGTTACGTTATTTTCCAGTTCTGGGCCTGAATCACAGAGGGGCACAGAGGATCTCTACGTTTGGGGATAGGGTAGGGCTGGTGGAGAAGTGGGGAATTCTTTTAAAACAATTCAGATCATAACGGGTGTTCCTCTTTCCGCAGAGAGCCTTCAATGCCCTGTGCCACAGCACTCATTTGTATGGCAGAAGACTGGTCTTGGAATGGGCTGACACAGAGGAAACAGTGGAAGCTCTGAGACGAAAAACAGCCGAGCATTTTCACGGTACTGTGGCATCTCCTGCTGCCTTCTTCCCGCCCCAGGGCTAGCTGGGAGCTTTCTTTCTGAACAGGAGCTGAGGTGGAGCTGGCTTCCACTTGGTGGTTTCTCCCAGGTGCATCACATTTAGGTGTTTAGTGTGGTGTAGTGAATTAAATAACAGACTAGGACTCAGGAGGCCTGGGTTCAAATTCTCACTCAACCATGGAAATTCACTGGGATGTGGAACTGGTAAAAACACTCTTTGCTAAACTTCCTGGAAGAAAAATGGGCCAAAAAAAAAGGAACCTGGGAACTACAGGCCAGTCAGCCTGACATCAATCCCAGGCAAAATTCTGGAACAAACTGTAAAGCAGTCACCGTGCAAGAACCTAGAAAACACTGCAGTAATAACTGGAAGCCAACACAGATTTGTCAAGAACAAATCCTGCCAAACTAATTTGATCTTGTTTTTTGGTCAGGTTACCTCCTTGATAGACAGAGGGAATGCTGTAGACATAGTATATCTTGACTTCAGCAAAGCTTTTAACAAAGTGTCCCATGAGATCCTGATTAGCAAGCTAACTAGGTGTGGGCTGGATAGATCCAAGTGTCAAGTGGATACACAATTGGCTACAGAATCTTACCCAGAGGGTGATGATTAATGGATCCTTCTTCAACTGGGAGGAGGTAACTAGTGGGGTACCCAAGGCTCAATCCTAGTCCCGGTGCTCTCCAGTCTTTTTATTCATGACTTGGATGAGGGAGTGTACGAAATGCTTGTCAAATTTGCAGATGATACCAAATTGGTTGGAATAGTTAATACTCTAGAAGACAGAAACAAAATTCGAAATGACCTTAATAGGATGGAGCACTGGGCTGAAAGCAACAGAATGAAATTCAACAGGGAGAAGTACAAAGTCCTGCAGCTAGGAAAAAGAAACCAATTGCACAGTTACAAGATGGGAAATACCTGGCTCAGCAAGACTACAAGCGAGAAGGATCTTGGAATCGTCGTAGATCACGAGCTGAACATGAGCCAACAGTGTGTTGTGGCTACAAAAAAGGCCAATGCTATTTTAGGCTGCATTAATAGAAGTATAATTTCCAAATCCCGCTAATTGCTAGTCCCCCTCTATTCAGCACTGGTTAAGTGAGGGCCTTGAGTTTTGTGTCCAGTTCTGGACACCACACTTCAAGAAAGATGCTAACAAATTGGAACAAGTTCAGAGGAAGGTTGACAAGGTTGATCTGGGGGCTGGAAACCAAGCCTTATGAGGAAAGGCTGAAAGAAATGGGCCTGTTTAGCCTTGAGAAAAGAAGACTGAGGGGTGATATAATAGGACTTTTCAAATATTTGAAAGGCTGTCATACAGAGGAGGGGCAAGATCTCAATCATCCCAGGGTGCGGGACATGCAACAATGGGCTCAAGTTAAAGGAAGTCAGATTTTGGTTGAATATCAGGAAAAAACATCCTGTTAGAGCAGAACAACAGTGGAACCAGTTACCATGGGAGTTGGTGAGTGCTCCAACACTGGAGGCATTCAAGAGAAAACCTAGATCATCACCTGGCAGATATGCTTTGATTGTATTCCTGCCTTGAGCAGGGGGTTGGACTTGATGGCCTTGTAGGCTCCTTCCAACTTCCACTTTTCTATGATTCTGTATGATTTCTCTCTTCCTTGAAAGCCCTTTTAGGATTGCTATAAGTCAGTTCTGTCTTGTCGGCTCCTAACAACAAAATAGTGTTTGTAAAGTAGGTAGAATCTGAGAAGGAATTATGTCATTTGTAGTCCTAAAAATCTAATCTCTACTTGCCCATCATGAACTAATGTTGTACACGTCCCTTTTCCCCACTGCTGCCTAAAGGGGACTCTGAGATTCGTAAGCGCATGATTTTCTTTGCGCCAAGCTGCTCTCTTGTGGAGTTGTGCATTTGTCCTCATGGAAGGAGGGAGTGCTTCCCTAAGCACTCGTAATCTTTAGGAATCAGGGCCCCGCCATTGACATGGCCAGAGACAGATACTGCTGTTCCTTGCAGCTATTGATGAGCATTGACAAGAGCAAATGTATTCGTTGGCAAATATTAGTGTAAGACTCTTGTTCTTCATGTACTCTAGGGAATAAGAAGTGGATCAATGAGCTTTCTTTGGCCCGGTTCTCCCCTCCAGCCGTGGACCTCTAGGAAACTGCTGACACGCCATCTGTTTCTGCTGTAGTAGAACTCATAACTTAAATAGTGTACACTTGAACCCACCACCCAATCAGATGAAGGAGGGAATTGATCAGAAATTGTGGCTAGGAGTGGGATTTTTGGAATTCAAGGACTCCCGGCCCCATAAATCAGCAAGACTTCCCAAGGCTGAATGCTGGGGAGCTCTCAAACCAGCAGGAGGTAGAGAAGCCCTCATACCTCCTTGCTCTTGCTGTGCCACTCCTTCAGATGCTTAGCAAAGGGGCCCTCCTCTGAATCGAGGATTCACAAAGATTCCCTATTGCTGACCACGCTGCATATGGACACGAGTTGGCCTTTGCGGGGCTCCTGCTGAAGGATGGGACTGAGAGTCCTTGAAATCCCACCCCTAACTGCGGTCCCAAGTGGGTCAGGCTCAAAGCCACCTGGTTGTTTTTATGGGCTGTTTGGGGCCGAAGAAGCCCCAGGCCGCAGGCACCCTCTGCCGGCATTCTGTGGCTCCTGGAGCGATCGCCGGCTCTGTTCCTTCCCCCAGGGTTGAGTACTTTCCCCATTCTTGTGTCCAGGGTGTCCGTGTTCCTTCCCTGGGTGCCTACAGTTCTGGGGACCTTGCTCTGATACAGATCATCCATTTGTAGCCTGAGGAGGTGCTCTGAGGCTCCCTGATCCTGGATGTTTCACATACACTGGTCCATCTGACCCGTTTTGCATCTTCAGCAGAACCTGCAAAGTCCAAAAAATCTGTCTTGTTACCCTTCCTCAGTGCAAAAAAACACAAATGTGTGATTGCAACCCTGGATATAGCAGCATAGAGATACATAATCTACTTAGACAAAAAGGCACAACAAAGAATAAGATGAAAATTCAGTCTTGATGCAGAATGAATAAGAAACCTGTTGTTACAGTACTGTGGCTGCTATGCCTTCATGAGTTGTGCCCATGCTTAAGAGGACCTGCATCAGTCATGGACATCTGACCTGGTGTGTGTTCCAACCTGGGGCTCTCCAGCTCTTTTGGGATACAATTCCCTTTGCCCCTCCCCATTGGTCTTGCTGCCAAAGGCTAATGGGATCTATACTTCTAAATACCTGGAAGGCATGTTTTTGCGGGAGGCTGCTTAACACATCCCCTAATGCGGTGGTGGCGAACCTTTTTGGGTTCGCATGCCCAAACTGGAAAACAAAAATCGGCAAGGGGCAGGACTGGAAGTGGCGGCAGAAGGGGGAATCCCAGCACGGAGGTCCCTCGAGACCCCACTCTGGATCCGCTGCCAGTGCCAGCTGGTTCGGATCCACCTGCTGAAGCGCCAGCACTGGGACTGCAGCCCACTCTGGATCCGCCACCAGTGCCAGCTGGTCCGGACCCACCTACTGAAGCGCCAGCAGCTGCATTCGCAGGTTTGGCTGCGCGGGGGGAAGGAGTAGTGATCCAGCGACTTATGGCTCACGTGCCGGCAGAAAGGGCTCCGCATGCCAGCTGTGGCACGCATGCCATGGGTTCGCCATCGCTGCCCAAATGTATGTGTTAGCCACTCAAAGTGCAGTACTTGATTTCTGTAGGCTTAATTCCAAGTAAGCTTGCAAAGATTGTGGCCGCCTGCAAAAGGAAAGTGTAAACTGGGGAGGGGAGATCAGTGAAGCCCGGGCCTGTTGTTCGAAGGTTTCAGAAAGTCTTTTTGAAGTATTTGACTAGTCAGGGTGGGAGGGGGGCCATTGTTTGGGGTCTTGATTCTAGTGGCAAAATACCTCGGGCCGGCTCTATTCACGAGAGCAGCATGCACGCCTGTGACAACAGCGGCCGAAAAGGGAGCTTGCCGGTTTGCGGTGTGCTAAATGCATTTCTAAAATTGGCAGTGTATAAAAGAGAAGGTGAGACGCAGGAGAGAGACGACTCCACTTTCCGGAGAGGTTTTTACATGTTTGCAGAGACTTGAGCGTATGTGTTTTGTTTCTTCTCCCTTTCTCTCCGTCCTGCCACATGGGGTGGGTGGGGGAGAGACCCGTGTGGGGTCCCCGCCTTTCAAGCAGGCAAAGGGGAGATTCTTCCAGGTGTATTGGGCGAGGGGAGGCAGCACAGAAGAAGCAGACAGAAAAGCCAGAGAGAGAGAGAAAGAGAGGGTCGAGAGAGTGAGCCCGCTGGCTGTGTGCTATTCATCCAGAGGGCATTTCGAAACAGCAGGCCTGCAGCCGAGAGAAGCTTTCAGTCCGATTTCCTGGCCGCGGCGCCTGGGAACTCATTGGACGGAGCATAATAGTGCCCGAGGTATCTGCTCCGACAATCTTTGTTTGCCGTCCTCTCGGGGTCGTCGGAAATGGGTTTTCTATTTGGCTACACGCTCGGCTTTGCTTTCCTCCCACGCCCCTCCCTCCACTCCTTTTGTGGCGCACACGCCGCTCCGCACGGTGCGCTGATCCACTCACCTTGGAACATTGAGCTCACCTGCGGCCTCTGCTGCAGCTGGCAGCCCGCCCCTCCCCCTCGCTCCCCGAAGGCACCGCGGCTTGGCCGACTCTTGTCGGCTCAAGAGGCCAGAGCTGGATGGCTCGTCCTCAAGGCTGACAATTTGTCTCCCCGAGGCAGGCGACGCGAGAGGGGGATGCACAGCTTAGTAGCGCCTGCTCCTCCGCAGAGCCCTTGCAGGCCATGTGCAAAGGGCCAGGAGAGTCGTCCTGGATGGGACCCATGTCCGGCGTGGTCACCATCACTGTTACCTTCTGCATCGTCAATCACATATATATATTCTGGTTTTCTTTCAACAAGCTCAAGGCAATGTCTGTGGTTTCCCTCCTCATTATTTTATCCTTACAGTGGCCCTGTCAGGTCAACAGGGCC